TTCTCATGTCCTCTTTGCGTGACCTAATGAGATCCCTGTACTTTTCTTGAGTTGCCTGCCCCTTCTTCCACAAGTGGTAAACTCTCCTTTTTTTCCAGTCCAGTCCCTCTCCCCCGATAGGATATTTTTTGAAGGAAAGTTGTTGGAAAATGTTTCAACAAATATTTTGGAGGGAAAGTTGTATGTATTTTTGCTAACACTGATTTGCTTGCTCTTTACTACCTGGACCAAAGTGAAAGCATGGGTGTAATGGCCACCAGACAAAGCCTTTAGTCAGCAAGGGCTGAAATGTGACCTGGGCCACTGCAGCAGTGCATACTTTGTGATGTACTCAATACACCTTTGAAACAAATGACCCTGCAGCACAGTAAATCTGTGAATTTGTTTTACAAAAGTAAATAACAGCTATGAATCCCCTTCTTCGGAGCATGTTTTACTGAAGCCATAAAATACTCTGACACAGTCTGCTTCACAGCAAACCTAAGGTAAAAACCAAATATCCCTTATGCCATAAAGCCAGAGCTCTGGAGCACTGTTCTGCCAGGCTGCCACAGTGCAGGATTGCCATCTGCAGGGCAGCTTGGCATCTGGCTCCCCTGGAGGCTGGCAGGCTCCTGATCCCCATGCATATCCTTCAGAATTGTAGGAAATGAGAGTGCTGCCACTGCCAGGGGAGAGGCTGTTCTGAAAAATGCATGTGTCTAAACTGCACCTGCATTAAGAAAAGACCTGTTGCTCTACAGTCACAGAATTTGCAGCCAGCTTGACACAGGAATTACTATTATCTCTTTCCTAAACATGGTCCTACCCCCTCCAGTACCTTGCATAGTTTATGCATATGTTGCCAGACATGCAGAAGGGAGATGAACAAGCCTGGGATGTCACCTGCAGCATAGCTAACCTCTCCTTTCCATTATAGGGTCAAATCACTCCCTTCCTTTGAAGGCAGGATCTATGCCAGTCACCTCAGTAGTGTACACAGTCTGCTTTCTTGGCAGATATGTTTGTAGGTGGGGAAGTACCTGCACATCAAGCCATGCTCTGATAACAAATGTCTGCTGTGGTCCAGGCACAAAAGAGAAGGGGATGGTCTGGTCTCTAAGGACAGAGCAGTGTTTCATCAAGCTTACATTCTTTTTCTGTCTCCTCCACAGACCCAGTTTTACTTGGGACAAGTCACCTCCCAGTTCCCCATTTGCAACACCAGAACAACAACTTGCTTTTGCAGTGTCTAGCTGTTTAGATGCCTGGAGTGATTCCTAGTCTTTGCGTCTGTACTGTCCCTATAAAAATGCTTGTGGTCTCCCACTGCCCTGCAGCTGCAAGTGAATATAGCAGTGACATAGAATCATAGAATCATAGAATGGTTTGGGTTGGAAGGGACCTTAAAGATCATCTAGTTCCAACCCCCCTGCTGTGGGCAGGGATACCTTCCACTAGATCAGGTTGCTCAAAGCCCCATCCAACGTGGTCTTGAACACTTCCAATGATGGGGCATCCACAACTTCTCTGGGCAACCTGTTCCAGTGCCTCACTACCCTCACAGTAAAGAATTTCTTCCTAATACCTAATTTAAACCTACCCTCTTTCAGTTTAAAACCATTGCCCCTCATCCTGTCACTACGCTCACTGATAAAGAGTCTCTCCCCATCTTTCCTGTATGTCCCCTTTAAGTGCTGGAAGGCCACTATAAGGTCTCCCAGAGCCTTCTCTTCTCTAGGCTAAACAACCCCAACTCTCTCAGTCTTTCCTCATAGGGGAGGTGCTTCAGCGCCCTGATCATCTTCATGGCCCTCCTCTGGACCCACTTGAGCAGGTCCATGTTTTTCTTATGCTGGGAACTCCAGAGCTGGATGCAGTACTCCAGGTGGTGTCTCATGAGAGCCAAGTAGAAGGGGACAATCACCTCCCTCAACCTGCTGGCCACACTTCTTTTGATGTAGCCCAGGATGCGATTGGCTTTCTGGGCTGCTAGCACACATTGCCGGCTCATATTTGGCTTTTCATCCACCAGTACCCCCAAGTCCTTCTCTGCAGGGCTGCTCTCAACCCACTCATCACGCAGCCTGTATCCATGTTTGGGATTGCCCCAACCCGGGTGCAGGACCTTGCACTTGGCCTTGTTGAACTTCATGAGATTTGCATGGGTCTACCTCTCTAGCCTGTCAAGGTCTCTCTGGATGGCATCCTGTCCCTCTAGAGTATCAACCACGCCACTCAGCTTGGTGTCATCAGGACATGGTACGTGTGGCTAAGTTAACAATAGCTATCAGAAATATATCTTGTCAAATACACTCAGAAACGCATAACCTTCTTCACAACTTCACCCTGATTACATACAAATAGCCACTGTGCTCCACAGTGCTTTGCTGTTAATCTATCTTGTGCAAACTAAGGAGTATTTGAGCAATTATATAGTGGCAGGATAGTTACACATGGCTGTTACACAGGAGGGCAGTTCCCGCAGCACCTTCAAGGAGAACACAGGTTAAGAGAGAGCTGCAGCAGCCTACACAGAGCAGGCAGAGCGTGACTCTCAGGCTCCTTTCTGCCTCCACAGTGCACAGCACACAAGCTCCCAGTGATCTGGGAGTTCCACATGGTGCTTGTCTCGTTGCACTGGTCAGCAGAGATGGACAGAGGCAGACAGAGATGAAGGAGTCTCTCCCCAAGGTCAGGGCTTGCATCTCCTCTGTGGCAGAACAGCTTCACCAGCTGGGCCTGGGCAGCACAGCAGGAGAGCTGGGCTTTGTGTCTGGCTCAGGCAGCAGGTCAGCTGTGCGGTCCAGGGCTGGACTGGCTGGCCGTACCAACCACCCCTCACAAAATGGTGCCAGTCTTCATGGCAGCTTTGGGGCACCATTGCAATACAAGCAGTAAACACAATGACCCTGCCCTGGGACCCTCACTTGTCACACCACACTGCATTGTGTTGTTGCCTTGCCTGCCAAGGCTCACACACAAAAACGTGGTTCCACCTGGGGTGGGACAGTTTGAAGATTCAGCCTTCAAACCACCTTACTAAAAGAGAATTTTGATACTGTTTGTTACATACTCATAGTTATTTTCTATTCTGTTAACAAGCTGGTCAACTTATTTTACATTTCAATGTAGAAATTCTGTGTGCTAGCATCACCGAAACACATCAAATGATGGATTTGGTGCAGTGCTCCTTCTCCTAATGTTTCCTAATAAAATAATCACCCTGATTTACTTACATGACTACCCCCACCTCATCAGCTGGCCGTAACCTTACAGACACAAATATTTCAATAACCAGCCAAGACCAACCTCAAGCAACTACACTGGAAAAGAGACCCTAGCCTTTTGCTGCTCTCATTCTGCCCAGCTCTTTCTCACTGATATTTGTGATAACATGACATGAAATAATCTCAGCTATCCTGAAGCTGCCAGTACATAAGAACTTCTGTAGAAATGGGCAAGACCACTTGCAAACTCCTATGTGTGAAATGATCCATAGTGCTGAGCAGTACATTATCACAAATTTCTCCTTTGCCTAGTAGCGTTGCACTGCAACCCTGCTGTAATGAAACGCGACACACACCACCGCTTCTTGCATTGCCAGACATTGCACATTGCACAGTGAGCACTGCCTTTTCCTCACAGTCTGCTTTTGGCAGAGAGAAATGAGTTACGTGCAGGAAAGTTGTTCAGATGACAGTGTGGTATCACATTAGCCGTACTTGAGCTGTAATTGTGGTCCTTGCTTTCCTAGAGTTTCTGATACAGGTCTTCCTATGGTTCTATAGCTCTGCCACAGCTGCCAGTAAAGGGGAGAACTATGTATTTCTGTGTATTTTGCCATCAAAATTGCCATTAATGCCCCATAAAGTCAGTAGAGCCACACCCCCATTGAAAGCAGAACTTACAACTGCACAAAGGATTTCAAGGATCAGTTTACACATCCAGTGCTAGATGTTCTGGTCAACAGATGAGAGTACTTGGTGGTAAAGCACCAGGTACAGCACAGCATGCCATTGCACACCTATACAGTACAGATATGTTGCAGGCACCCACACAACAGACACAAATATCCATGGTCAACAGCAGCTACTCATCATCCATGGAACTGATCAGGTGCATTTTGGGCCACATGCAGAAACACACATACAGCTTACAGCTATAGATTTACATGACACTACTAGCATATAAAATAGAATAGAATAGAATAGAATAGAATAGAATAGAATAGAATAGAATAGAATAGAATAGAATAGAATAGAATAGAATAGAATAGAATAGAATAGAATAGAATAGAATAGAATAGAATAGAATAGAATAGAATAGAATAGAATAGAATAGAATAGAATAGAATAGAATATTTTCAGTTGGAAGGGACCTACACCGATCATCTAGTCCAACTGCCTGACCACTTCAGGGCTGAGCAAATGTTAAAGCATGTTATTAAGGGCATTGTCCAAATGCCTCTTCAACACTGACAGGCATGGGGCATCGACTATCTCTCTAGGAAGCCTGTTCCAGTGTTTGACCACTCTCTCAGTAAAGAAATGCTTCCTAAGGTCAAGTCTGAACCTTCCCTGATGCAGCTTTGAACCATTCCCGGGCACTCTGCCCCTGGATTGCAGGGGGAAGAGATCAGCACCTCCTTCTCCATGTCCCCTCCTCAAGAAGCTGTGGAGAGCAATGAGCTCGCCCTTCAGCCTCCTGTTCGCCAAACTAGATAAACCCAGAGTCCTCAGCCGCTTCCCAGAGGACGTTCCTTCTAACCCCATCACCAGATTTGTTGCCCTCCTCTGGGTGCATTCGAGTACCTTAACATCCTTCTTAAATGGTGGGGCCCAAAACTGCACACAGTACTCCAGGTGACACTGCACCAATGCTAACTAAATACAACTAAATCACTTCTTTTGAACAGCTGGTTATGCTGTGTTTATCATAGAATCATAGAATTGTTTAAGCTGGAAAAGATCCTTAAGAACATCGAGTCCAACTGTTTACCTAGCACTGCCAAGTTCACCACTAATCCATGTCCCTAAGCACGACATCTACACCTCTTTTAAATACCTCCAGGGATGGTGACTCCACCACTTCCCTGGGCAGTCTCTTCC